TCCAATTCTAAAACTTTCAAGTTACTTTTGATGGCTGGACAGACTCAGTTTGTAAAATGTGGCTCATTTTAAAGCTTCAGTTTCTGAGTCAAAGCCGCTCACTTTGCCCCAGTGAGGGGACAGGAGGAAGGGACAGCGGCTACGTCCGCCCCCCTGCACCCCACCCTGCACTGAGGACAGACAGACAGACGTCTCTCCGTGGGAGTCGCTCACCAGTGGCCTTTCCTGCTGATCTAGTTCGTGGTTTGGGTGGAGACTCAGTGTCTCCCAAGGGATCCCTTGAGAGACTCGCTGTGGGCCGACTGCCAACGCGCTGGGCCCGCCCCTCAGCAGCTCCGGGGAGCCCTGCACCCCACAGTCCTGTCCGGCCGGCCGACACAGGTGGGGTTCAGCTTGCACACTTTGCGGAGCCCGAGCTGGGTCCAGCCAGCCACCTGCACACGCCCCCCATGGGCAGGAACGCCCCCCATCGCTGCCCAGAGCCCGTGTCCCCTGTCGGGAAGCATCACGGCCATGGAACCGGCCCGGAGCCCAGAGGACACCCAGCGGGGACAGGGCGGGGTTCTGTGGGGACCCTCCTCGCCCAGCCGCCCTCTCCAGAAAGACAGCGCATCTCGGTCTGCAGAGAAGTCCGCAGGGATGTGCTGTCTGGCCCTGGGCCTGGGGGAACCCCGGACTTCTGTTCCCTCATCCTGGGGAACCCCGTGTCCCCCACCATCTCCCCACTACGGCTGTGCGCCGTCGAGGAAGATATCCTGAACCCGATGACTCGTGGCATCGCGACTGACGCCAGCAAGGAAGGGCTGGCACCTCCAGGGAAAGCACACGCCTCCTTCCCACCAGGTGACCTCAGGCAGGCCGCTCAAGGGTACGGTGAGGGGACCGATGGAAAGCACCTGCGGGCTGCCCGTGCCCCAAACGCACTCCAAACGCCTGCTGGCGGGACGCCTCGGGGCTCAGCTGGTTAAGCGTCCCACTTCGGCTCAGGTCGTGATCTCACGGTTCGTGGGTTCGAGCCCCGCGTCGGGCTCTGTGCTGACTGCCAGCTCAGAGCCTGGAGCCTGTTTCAGTCTGTGACTCCCTCTCTCTCTGACCCTCCCCTGCTCACGCTGTCTCTCTCTCTCTCCTAGAAATAAATAAAAAAACATTTAAAAAATTTTTTTTAAAAATCAAGTGATTCAGAGGGTTTACAGCAGAAAATGACAGCCCCTGGTCTTCCCGCCTCCATCATTCCACCTCTTCGTCTCCTCAGATGCAATAGCTTTTAACTCTTGGGCCCTGGTGTTCACTTCTCTTGCCCTAAAGAGTATGTCTGTGTTGCTTTTTGGAGAAATCTTTCAAGATTAAAACAAAAAGACAAAAGGTAGAAAATATGGGAGACAAATTAGACAAGGAACCAGGTGATACACATTTGAATATGAGAGGAGAGAATGAGAAAACGGGGGGGGATTCTATCTGTTCAACCTTCCGTCCATCCACCCATCCACCCATCCACCCATTCCTTCCTTCCTTCCTTCCTTCCTTCCTTCCTTCCTTCCTTCCTTCCTTCCTTCCTTCCATCTCCCAGCGCTAAAGAAGGTCAGGTTCCAATTAGGTTTATTAAACAAAGAGCCTACTCTCCGATATGTAGCATTTTCTTAAGTCCAGTGCCCTGTGACCTCACTGGGCCCTCCCGAGAGCCAAGTTTCCAGTCTCCATGCTTTCCCTTTTCCCCTTTTTTCTTGTTCCTGTATCGCTGTCTTCCAAGCGTCCTGAAAAGGTGATTTACACCACAGCCTCTGCTGAGAGCGTGCCTGGGGCCGGGCTGCCTGGCCAGCTGACACTTCCCTCTCCTAAGAGTAAATTCCTGGCACACCCACTGCCGTGGAGAAATAACGCTGAGCAAAAAGTTGAGCAAAGAAGCTGCAGAATGATGCATGTACAGTTGGATTTGCTACGTATAACCGGATTAATGGCCAAAAATATTATGTTTGATCAAGCCTAACCTTCACCAAAGAAACGAAGTTGGGAGCCGAAAATCCAAATTATAATGGAACAACGTAATAAAGAAATGAGGAAACTATGCCAGTAATACAAGCACATGTTTAAATAGTAACCCAAGGGGCGCCTGGGGGGCTCAGTCGGTTAAGCGTCCGACTTCGGCTCAGGTCACGATTTCACGGCTTGTGAGTTCGAGCCCCGCGTCGGGCTCTGTGCTGACAGCTGGGAGCCTGGAGCTGCTTCGGATTCTGTGTCCCCCTCTCTCTGTGCCCCTCCCTCCCTCATGCTCTGTCTCTGTCTCTCAAAAATGAATAAATGTTAAAAAAATGTTTTTCTTAATTAAAAATAAAATAAATAAGTAATAAACAAACAGTAAGCCAAGCCAGAAGGCTTTATAGGAACAATGGCCTCAGCGGCCCTGACCTTGTCCTTGCTCTTCTGCCTGGGTCCCTGTTTATAGCGTTAATGTCACTCAGAAGCATAACTGGAAATGGCGGTACATGAATATGCATGCGCGAGTTTCCTCTGGCTACATGATGACCCAGGAAGTTGATCCTCACACACCCAGAACATGCCAGGTCTCAAGGGTCATTTTTTCCTTTAATATCCAAAGGAACAGGCAAAGTGCCCACGCTGTGGGTTGGGGGAGCCCCGCCCCTACAGGCCCCCCCCCCCATCGCTTGGGGCCCGGCACCTGCTGTCTGTCCTTGGCCATATGTCACCCCTGGTTGGGAAGCCGCAGCGCACATGTCATTAGTCCCCAGTCTCTGCTCACACAAGCTTTCATTGTGCAGTTTTATTGAGGATTTGACGGGATCGGAAGACGACAGCCCAACGGCTCGGACAACAGCTTCTGACTGAATGTTAGTCATAACCGTCCTGTGAAGGTTCTGGACAGCCTCCCCCACCGGGACTTTCTAACAATCCTCGGACTTTCCCCTCTCTTACCGTTTTGTTTTGTTTTCTTTTCTTTTCTTTTTCTCCTTTCTTTCCCCCCAGCTTTATTGAGATATAATTGACTTAATAACACCGTGCAATTTATTTTTTAATTTTTTTTTAACGTTTTTATTTATTTCTAGGAGAGAGAGAGAGAGACAGCGTGAGCAGGGGAGGGTCAGAGAGAGAGGGAGTCACAGACTGAAACAGGCTCCAGGCTCTTGAGCTGGCAGTCAGCNCCTAGAAATAAATAAAACATTAAAAAAAATTAAAAATAAATAAATAAATAAAATAAAATGCACAATGTGTTTGTTGACTGGATACAATCGGATACAAGAAAACTTTGATTCTAGTGCATAGTTTGTTCTGGAAACATGCTTGTAATCCAGTGTAATTGTATATCAAAGCGATTTTCCCCATGAGAAATAAGGGAGGGGTGCCTGGGCGGCTCAGCCAGTTGAGTGTCCAACTTCAGCTCAGGTCATGATCTCGCGGTTCATGGGTTCGAGCCCCGCATCGGGCTCTGTGCTGACAGCTCAGAACCTGGAGCCTGTTTCAGATTCTGTGTCTTCCTCTCTCTCTGCCCCTCCCCCACTAATGTGCACGCTCTCTCTCTCGCTCTCTCTCTCACTCAAAAATAAACATTGAAATTTTTAAAAATTTAAAACGTAAGAAAAAGAAAATACAAAATACAAAGAAACACAAACAAATTAACCGGCACTTCCCTTTGAAAACCTTCGTGGCTGGTGTGAAGGAGACAAGAGAACAGAGAATTATCTTTTAGGACAACTTTCACTCTCTCTAACGGAATCACTGGGATCTATTGGCTCAACAGAACCTTTTTCCTTTCATGTAACTTTAACAAGGAACCTGTCCAACGACATAGAATGGGGCAAAGCATTCCGGAGCTCACTCTTGTCTGGAGAAGCAAAGGACTGTCCATGGGGACTTTGAAGTGACAAAAATACACTAGTGCCAGTTGTGGCCACCTTCCAATGTTCCGAAAAAATCAGACTGCTGCCAAACGCCACGGCCTGAGAGGGAGCATCCAAGCATGGGAATCACCCCCGATCCCGGGGCGGGGGGGAGAGAGAGAGAGAGAGAGAGAGAGGGAGAGGGAGAGGGAGGGAGGAAGGAAGGGGGAGGGAGGGGGGAGAGAACCAGTGTTGATCATGGGATGTTCTGCATCAGATACTACTCGTATTATAAGACATCAATCGTTTATCCAGGTAAAATTTATTATTTGGGGCACCTGGGTGGCCCAGTCGGTTAAGCATCCGACTTCAGCTCAGGTCATGATCCTGTGTTTCGTGGGTTCAAGCTGTGCTGACAGCTCAGAGCCTGGAGGCTGCTTCCGATTCTGTGTCTCCCTCTCTCTCTGCCCCTCCCCCCTCTCTGCCCCTCCCCTGCTTGCCCTCTGTCTCTCTGTCTCCCAAAAGTAAATAAATATTTTTAAAAGTTTTAATGTATTAGAAATATTTGCTCATCTTGCGGAACATTCGCATAACAAGACCCCAAGCTTTCACCGTATTGCGAAATGCCCGCCACCACAGCCAACGTCACTATTTCTTTTCTGTGATGAGAACACTTAAGATCTGCTCTTCCCAGACTTGGCCTAACTTTGCATTTCACCTTCCCCGTTCGGAGCCACGCCCCACTCAAAGAGACCCACCAAGGTATATCTCTAGCCCCCAGGCCAAAATCACAATAGCAGTTAAGTCTCTGTTGCCCCTTGGACATAAAAGTGACAGCACTTAGTTATTCTTCCAATGACATTAGTCCCCTGCACCTTTGACAACGGAAGACAGAGCAGTGAGTCAGCCTCCTATGGACGGGACGCGTCTGATCTCTGGGGCTCGTGAGTCTCCGGGGAAGCACTAGGCGGGCTCACTCCGTGCTGCACGCGGGGACACACGGAAGCTCCGAGACTAAGGGCCACGCCTGACGGTTCCCAGGGTTTTCTGAGCCTCCGCCCGCCTGACCCCTAAGCAGAGGTAGCCCTGAAACGCGGGAGACAGTGGCCCCCACCCCTCCCCCCAGACGCCCCCAATCATGTCTGTTTCCTCTGTCTCCGTTCTTCTCAGGGTCCCATCACGATGGATTGGTGGAGGGACAATTTCTTGATGATCCTAGCCGTGGCCATCGTCATCGTGTCCGTGGGCCTGGGGTTCATCCTGTACTGCATCTGTCGGCAGCTGCTGAGACAGGGTAACGGCGGTCTCACCCGCGCGGTGGAGGGGGGGGAGGGCTGGGGTGGCTGGACTGTGGGTAAAGCATTAGGTATCCTGGGTCTGAGCCCAGCTCTGCCTCTACCTTGCATCTCCGGGCCTCAGTTTCCCCAGCTGCAGGCGCCCTCCCGGCGCCCAGGGTGTGGGTACGGGCAGGATCCGTGGAGGCACACGCTGGCCCAGGGCTTTCTCTCTCCAGCTCGACTCTTGCTCTCACCTCTGGGACCTGGGAGACGGCACGGGTCCAGAGAACGTCAGGGGCCGCCTCAGTTCCGAGCACATCGAGTTGAACACGTGTTGTATACACGGGATACACACAGCCTTTTCTAGGTCGATCGTTCCCCACCAACGCGGTTAAGAACAAAATGTCTTGAGGCACGAAATATGGGCTCAGTCCGTGATGGACGCTTCGGCCACCACCACTGTGTCCCCTAGGGTCAGACCCTGAACCTTTCAGGATGACAGCCGCCTGGGCCACGGGTACTTGGCACCTTCAAAACGTATATAAGCAGCTTCCTGGGGGTATGACGCTAACCTCACACCATCTACAAGCGGGTTTCCGCTTTGCCGTCCATTCTCTCAAAACCTGATATCCTTGACTTGATGGTGTGTTTTCGTGCGATCTGATCCCTTCCGATGACCCGGGGATGGTAAAGGCACTGGCAGGTGCGGCTGCCTCCCCCGGGGCGGTCTGGGCAGGCCACCCTGGCACCGACCTGCCGCGGCGTCTGGGACAGCCCCAGACCCCTGCTCGCCCGGTGCTGACAGGTGCGGGCTCCCTCCATCTTTTCTTAGAGATGTGGCCTTAAGGTTCAGAGAGAGGAAGAGCCCTGACTGGGGGCTCACAGGAGTCGGTGGCAGAGTTGGGACCAGAACTCAGTTCCACTGGGCTTCTTGTTCAATGGTCTCTGCCCTCGACCCCTTGATGGTAATTAGTTGTTTTTTGTTCTTGTTTTATAGATGTTTAAGAAATGTATTTTAAGGTTTATTTTGGTGGGGGAGAGAGAGAGAGGAGGAGAGAGAGAGAGAGATCCAGCAGGGGAGGGGCAGAGAGAGGGAGACACAGAATCCAAAGCAGGCTCCAGGCTCTGAGCCGGACCTGGGGCTTGAACTCACGAACCCGGAGTTCATGACCTGAGCCGAAGCCAAATGTTTGGCTGATTGACCCATCCCGGAGCCCCTTTTTGTGGTTGTCCTTTTTTTTTTTTTTTTTAATTTTTTTAATTTTTATTTATTTCTAGGAGACAGAGAGACAGCGTGAGCAGGGGAGGGTCAGAGAGAGAGGGAGATACAGACTCTGAAATAAGCTCCATGCTCTGAGCTGGCAGTCAGCACAGAGCCCGACGCGGGGCTCGAACCCACGAACCGCGAGATCATGACCTAAGCGAAAGTCGGACGCTCAACCGACTAAGTGTGGTTGTCCTTTTAACACGAAGGGCATATTCCGCCTCCCATAGCCCTCCGTCCATTTGCCTTCCTGAAATGTTTCGTTCTTAGATCCGGACGAAAGTAGGACCCTGAACAGACCCTTCCCCCTTCTCCCGGGCCTTAAGCCACCGCCGTGAACACGCAGCTTAGCACGAACGGTGACGTGCGCCCGGCACGCCCGGGGTACCTCCGAGCGCGGGCTGTGCACGCGGGACGAGGTGACCGAGGTGACCGGGGCTCGGTCAGAGGGCGCGCGGCCGGCCCCGCCCACCCGGCCGGCCCCGCCCACCCGGCCGGCCCCGCCCACCCGGCCGGCCCCGCCCACCCGGCCGGCCCCAGCCATTTCTCCCCGAGGTTCCGCCCCCTGCGCGCCCGGCACGCGCCTGACGTCTCGGGGCCTCTCGCACACGCACCCCTTCTGCCGACTCTTCCCAAGTGACAATTAATGCCTGTTTGGATCCTTAGGCAAGAAGTGGGACGTCGCCAAGTCCTCGGGAAACGGGCACAGTGACGAGGAGAAAATGTACGAGTAAGTACAGTACACGTGAGAGCCGCCCGGTCACGTGGCCCAAGCACCTGCGCTTCTCCGCGGGGGGGGGGGGAGCCCACTGCGCCTGCGCAGCCGGTGACTTGTCCTGTCTGCCAATTCCCCGCCCCCAGGGGAGGGGCCCCATCTGGGCTCTGCTCTCCCAGTTGACCTTGTCTGGTCCTTTGGGAGAGGTCACAGGTCAGGCCCTGTGTGCTGGGCCCACCCTTCAGAGTTAGGGCGACCCTCCTCTTCTTCTTTCTTTCTTTTCTCTCTGTCTCTCTCCCTCCTTCCCTCCTTCTCTTTTCTCTCTCTTTCTTTCAAGATTTTATTTTAAGTAATCTCTACACCCAGGGTGGGGCTCAAACTCCCAACCCTGAGATCAAGAGTCGCAGGCTCCAGCAAACGAGAGGCAGCCAGGCACCCCTACCCTGCTTTTCTTTCTTTCTTTTTTTTTTTTATAGTTTATTGTCAAGTTGGTTTCCATATAACACCCAGTGCTCATGCCCATCTCCCCCTCTCCCCCTACTCTGCTTTTACTTAGATGGACGAGCAGTAGAGTCCTCTCAAGGCTGTGTGCCTAACGATACGATGGCATTCGCTTTATTTTTGCATTTTGTGATCCATTTGGGTCTCTTATGATTGCTGGGTCGGGGGTCCCCAAGATCACCTTTAGGCTTGATGATTCACGAGAAGGGCTCACAGGACCCAGAAAAGCTACTACACTCATGGTTCTGGGTTATTACCGTGGAAGGGGACAGAGTCAACTCAGCAAAGGGAAAGCACATAGGGTGGAGCCCAGGGAAATGAGGTGGAAGCTTCTAGTAGTCTTCTCCTGGCACAGTCGCACGCACAGTGCTTCATTCTTGCACAGAGCTTGGAGGTTAAGGGCCAGGAGCTGGTCAAGGGCCAGGCCTTTTCTTGGAATGTAATACATCGTCTGAAACAAATTTGAGCGAGTCGGGGAGGGGCAGAGAGAGAAGGAGACACAGAATCTGAGGCAGCTCCAGGTTCTGAGCTGTCAGCACAGAGCCTGACGTGGGGCTCAAACCCACAAACCATGAGATCATGACCTGAGCCGAAGTCAAACATTTAACCCCACTGCACCCCAAAATCTGTGCTTTCCTAGAGTGACTTTTGTTGTGAATCCAGCAAATGATAGACCTCTTCCCCGCCAATTCTGACCCCCTTGAGGAGTAAGACAAATGTGTCGTGCAAGCACAAAATTCCGCCTTTAATGAGAACAAACCTGGCATCGCGCCATGGGGCTCTCCTCCACGGGCAAGTGCATTTGCTAATTCACAACCAGGCAACCCTTCCCACGCGGTGCACGGCCCGGAGAAGCTCAGGTCACCGCGTGGGGCAGCCCCTTTGACCGGCAGACACTCGAGCACCATGTGTGTTTTCTGCGGTCAGGCCGGCTCTGGAGGAGAAAGGGGAGCAGGTATCTCCCAAAGGCAGATCAATTCCCTTCTCTCCTGGGAAGCCAGGCGGGCTGGATGGAGGCCACTAACGGAGCTCTAGCCACACGTCCCCTTGTCCACCCATCCCAACGTCCTAAACGGGCTTGTGCGTCCCCAGGGGCGCTTAACCAGGTACAGGAGGCCCAAACGTGGCTCAGAGTAATCTCTTCCGGTTTGGAGGTCAGACAGAGTACACGGAGGGGATAGCGGGTGTGGGCAGAGGCTCGCCGGCGTCTCTTTTCGTTGGAACTTCCTACCCAAGTGCGATAGAATGTAGAAAGGAGGACAAGGTCGAGCACGACTCCGTGAATTTCCACACAGGACAGACCCAGGTGGGTGGCGCCCAGATCAAGAAACAGAATTGCTAGTTGCTCACTGCCTTCTACTCCCTTCCAGCCACCTTACCCCAAAGACGGCCACTATCAGACACAGGAGAGGCTACCTTTTTTTTGTTTTTGTTTTTATGCTTTATAGAAATGGAATCAGCCAGGGGCGCCTGGGGGGCTCAGTTGGTTGAGCATCTGACGCTCAGGTTCGGCTCAGGTCATGATCTTGTGGTTCGTGAGTTCAGGTCCTGCATCGGGCTCTGCCCTGTCAGCGAGGAATCTGCTTGGGATTCTCTCTCTCCCTCTCTCCCCCTCCCTGCTCATGCCGTCTCTGTCTCTCGAAATAAATAAGCTTTAAACAAATGTTTTAATCAATAGAATCAGCCAGCGTATGTTATCCAGCCTCTGGCTTCTATCGGTCAATGTTTCTGTGCGCGTCATTGCGCGTGTGGCTGCAGGTTCGCACTCGTGAAACTGCGCACTCTGCGGCCGATGCGCGTGTGCCTAAGGTCCAGCTTGGGGCTGCTGAGTCACGCCGCCAGGAACCTTCTCGCGCACGTCATCTGGTGACCACACGCAGGCATCTCCGCAGGATGCGCGCGCCCTTAGCGTTAGGGACACGTGTGTTTTGCGAAGGGAAACACACCTGCTGCTTTCCCGCCCCCCCTTCCCCCCACCCCCACCCCTTCCCGCTCCAGGGAAGCCAGGAGGATGTGCTCCACGCTAAGTCCCTTCCTTCCCTCCACTCCAGCTGTCCCCGGGGCTGGACGATGCGGTTCCTATGCAAATGGGGTGCAAAACAGAAGGAAGGAGATACCTCGAGCTTTTAGGAATGAAGATTTAAATGTTCAACGGTGTCTGTTTCCTTTGATAGTTTCCTTTTGGGGGCTGACAGCCAACGTGCTCAAACCCACACCCTGACTCCTCTTTCTCTCTCTCCAGGAATGTTCTTAATGAACCACCAGTTCAGTTACCCCCTCTGCCGCCCAGGGGTTTGCTCTTTCCAGAACATGCCCGTAAGTATCTGCTGCTGGTGACATTCAGGGGAGGGTAACAAATTCATCTAATGTCTTAGCTCAGGGGCGCTTGGCTGGCTCAGTCAGTTCAGCGTCGGACTCAGGCTCAGGTCGTGATCTCAAGGTTTGTGGGTTCGAGCCCCGCGTCCGGCTCTGTGCTGACAGCTGGGACCTGGAGCCTGCTTCAGATTCTGTGTCTCCCTCTCTCTCTGTCCCTCCCCTGCTTGCACTCTGTCTCTATCTCTGTCTCTCAAAAATAAATAAGAAACGTTTTACAAAAATGAATAGGCAAACCTGTTAAAAGGGGAGCAGAGCAAATTGCAAAACTCCTGATAGTGTGTTCGTTCGTCTTCAAATCCCAGCTCGGAGCTGAGAAAGAAGGAATGGGGCGGGGGGAGGCTCCTGTCACCCGGACTCCCAGGCTTCCCATCAGAAAATCCCTGCCTGGCTCCCTTGACCAGAATGTTCTTCCTGGAGCTGCCCGTGTGGTGGCCGTCCTGCAGCCCCCACGCGTCAGCACAGAGGTCACCTCCGAGCGCCCACTGCGGAAGGCAGTTCCCCGACCTTGTCTTACGTGGAGCTCACGTGTTGCCTGGCATCTGTGTCGTCCCCGGGGACACAGGGGACCGAGGGGACCCATCACAGTGTTAGCTTACGTGTGCCGCCCTTCCCGGCACGATCTCACGTCGCCCTCTCAGCCGCGTTCCCACCCCCTGACGGACGGGGACACTGAGGCACAGAGGAGTTAAGCGTCTCACCCGCGGCGACGCAGCGAGTGACCGCTGGAGGCTGTGCAGGAAGTGAGTGGCGGCCTCTCGGGTCCTCGGTGGCGGCCGAGGCCGTGCGACCCCAGCTGAGCGCCTGAGGCGGGGCTGCCGGTTCATTTTCCTTCACGGGGCCAGCCCGGTGCTTCCGCTACGTACCCCGACTCACTCGTTCCACCTTTTCAAACCCCGCTGTCCCCTTCCTTCCGAGCAGAGATTCGTGCCGCGGCAATCATGGAATGTTCTGGAAAACACTCTGAGTCACTGTGAGGGATGTGCCGAAAAGGAAATAGGCTTTGTGTCACTGCCTCGTGAGAATTAGGGTCTCCCACGACTGTGCCCGCTCGGGGACGCGCCCGGGTCCACGTTTTCCGCCTCGTGCGGCTCCGGCAGGGGACTCGCGAGCCGACGCGTCTGACCAACGCCCGCCATTTTCCCACGTGGGTGGTCCCGGGGCGGTGCCCTGTCTGTACCTCAGTTTCCCCTGTCAGCTGGGGGGCTGGCCCACCAGGGAGGGGATCTCCCACCCATGGAGATCATGCGGAGTCACTGAGGATATACACGGCTCCGGTTTCGGCTCACGGGTTCGTGAGTTCGAGCCCAGAGCCCGCGTGGGAGTCTCTCTGCCCCTCCCCCACCCGCGCTCTCGCGATCCGTCTCGAATAAACTTGGCAGCCGGCCTCCAAGGACCTTTCTGTGTGTTGCAGCCCCGCAGGACGCCCCGAGTCCGCCGCCGGCCACGTACTCGCTGGTCAATAAGGTCAGAAATAAGAAGACGGTTTCCATCCCGAGCTACATTGAGCCTCTGGATGATTACGATGATGTCGAAATCCCTGCAAATGCGGAAAAGCGCCATTTCTGAGGCAGCCGTGTCCCCTCCTGGCGGGCGGCGAGCTGACGACGGTTCGCGCAGCGGACTTCACGCCGTCGGGAACCGAAGCGCTTCGGCCACGGGACCCGGAAGCGGGCGGCGCTGTGGCGCGACGCCGGGAAAGAAACGCTCCTGGAGCTTCGACCGAGGCGCCCCGGAGACCCGGAGCGGCCAGGCCTCGAGCTCCTGTGGACGGGTGCCCCCGGGGTTCCGCGGCTCCCACGCGTGAGAAACGGCCCGTTCCTGACACTCCGTCCCCCTTCCCTTCTCGTGTTTGGGTCCGAGCCGACCCGGGCCGTGCTGCGGGGGTGCGGGGCCCGCCGCCCACCCGTCGCACCCGGGGCCTGGGCACAGCTGCGGCTGGGCGCTCGTGCTGCCGCCACACGTCACACCCGGCAGCCTCTTCAAGGCCGAGTGGAGCTTTCTGCGCCCGGGAGCCGGCCCCCCCCACGCACACCCCTGGGTGACGGCGGCCGCGCGGGCGGAGCCGGCTGCGCACCCGGGGTCTTGCTTCCCGCCAGCGCGGGGACCGTCCGCACACACAGACGCTGCCCCCCGGACCCGAGCACGCGGGTGACGCGTCGCGGTGTCAGCTGCGGGAGAGCCGGCCCCCCGGGGTGGGGGGACGGGCCATTAAACGGCAGATTCAAGACGAGAGTTCAGGGGGCTCCGCGTCCTCGCGTGTGACGCCCGTGACGGCCTCCTCCCTGGAGCACGCGCGTGCGGACGGCGCCGAGACGGCGGTCCCCAGCCCCGGGTGGCGGCTCGGGCCGGCGCTGATGGCCTGGGGCCGCGGACGGGGCGCCCCCGAGCCCGGACACGCCGAGTTCGCAGCAAGCGCGGGGAACCGCAGCCGCGAGCAGGCCCGCGGGGAGCGCCCCGTGGACCCCAGGGCGGCCGGGAGCGACCGTGGGCCCGAGCGCCGTCCCGGGAGACGGACCGCGCGCCTGTGGGGCTCGGGCCCCTCCCCCCGCGCCGCTGGGCCGTGGGGACGCGGGCCTCGGCCGTGTCCACACTCCGCGGGGACGTCCGGCGCCCTGGGTGACTACCGCCTCACAGTGGCCGGCGGCTCCCCAACTGCGGCCTGTGGGACCCCGGGCCTCCGTGAGCCCGAGAGGACTTTTCCTCCAAGTTTTGGGGGGGGGGGGGGAAGGCCAAAGGGCAGAAGTGTTTCACATGTATGGCTTCCTCTTCTACATTTTTCCGAAAACCACCCACATGTATGACAGAGTTGAAAGCAGAGGCCCGACGTCTCTTCCTCAGGCTCTTCCTGTCGTGGGCGCCTGGGGCTCAGCGCCCCTCTATTCTGGCAGCTGCGCCCCCTCCTCAGTCCCAGGCCGGCTGCCCTCCCACGACATCCCCGCACGACCTCCCGGCAGGGCCTCAAGGTCAACATACCCCAGAAGGAACGGATGCCCCCCTCCCCCCACCCCACCCACCACGGGCATCTCACCCTCCGGTCCCCTTTCTACACAGCTTTCTGAAGGGAACATCTGATCGCTTCGTTCTCTTGCTTAAATCTCTGCTTCACCCATTACCCTCAGAAAAAACCGAAACCCCTTAACTTGGGTTCCGAGATGTGTCAACTTCCCCTTACAGCTTCCACCCCGTCCAAACGTTTGCTCCTCCGGCCATCTGAAATGACCTGGTCTGTGGTCTCTCCTGCCCCTAAGGCGACCCACAGGAACCTCCTCTCTGTCCAGAACATCTCTCCCCAGCTTCTCCTTCCCGTCTCTGCTCAGAGCCTTTCCTCAGCACCCAAAATGTGAGTGCGGTGCCCTCTTTGATGCTTCTCCTCCCACAGCAAGAGCACCCTGGGACGAGCCGTTTGCCCCACCTTAGACTGAGGGCAACGTGGGAACAGGGACCGTGTCTCTCTTTCCCCAGTGTTTTCTCTGTTCCCGGCACAGGGCCCAGGCGCTTCGTGGCTGCTCGCTCCACACGGTGCATGAATGATCAACTGAATGAATGAGTGAATGAATGAATGCGTGAACTCCTCTGGGATGCCACCGCTCCCTGTCCTTGACCCTATGGAAATCCATCTCCCTCTGCATTATAATTGTCTCATGGCTTTTCCATCCTTCTATTTTTTTTTTAATTTTTATTGTTTATTTTATTTTTGAGAGAGAGACAGAGCAAGAGCAGAGGAGGGGCAGAGAGAGAGGGGGAGACACAGAATCGGAAGCAGCTCCAGGCTCAGAGCTGTCAGCACAGAACCTGATGTGGGGCTCGAACTCAGGGACCGTAAGATCATGACCTGAGCCGAAGTCGGCCGCTCAACCAACTGAGCCCCCCGGCGCCCCTACTCATCCTTTCTCACTGGGGGGCTCCTCTGGGGCGGAACTTGCCTGGCTCACGGCTATACCCCCCTACCCAGCAAAAACTCTGGTACATAGTAGGCCCTTAATACAATGTTGCACGTTACTAGAAAGCCCGCCAATCAGGTTGACAAAAGCAAGTAGGTTTTCTCCCAGCGCGTATGATTTACTGGAGAATTTACCCTACACACCAGCAGGTAATAAAGGAATGGTTTTGCTGGTTTGGTTTAAAAAAAGTTGTTACCAGCTTGGATGACAGCATTAAATATATTAAGATTAGACAAGGCCTTTTTGTATATTCCAGCCCCATAGGAAGCCCTGAGTCAGCCATCAGCTACCTACCGACAGATAAATAAAGGTGGAAATCAGAAGACAGTGTCCATCCTGAGCGGGTGGTGTCTGAAGGGACCACGATGGTGCTAAAACCCCTACAAATATTGAAGCACGTCATTCTGAAACTCTGTACTCTGCCACCTTAACTTCTCTGAGAGCTAGTGGTTTACTCATACCAGAAATCCATGGATTATAGTTCTCTTTGAAACAGTCAAACTGAAATTTATGATACAAACAGGACTGTTTTCAGGAAATGCTCTGGTATTACCAGTAACAAATTTTACAGATCATTTGTATCAGTTAGTATGTGTCTGACTGCAAGGCACAGCCCATCCAATAATGAGGAATGGGTGGCCTCACACAAGAAGTCTAGAGGTAAGCACTCCCGCATTCACAGGTCCAAGACTCAGGACCACTGGCTGACTTTTCTTTGATTCTCTTAGTGTTACCACTCATGATGACAGGTAGCTGCCATAGCTCCAACCATCACAGCCTCACAGGACAACATTTGAAGTTAGGAGACAAAGGGACATTTCCTCCCATATAGCTCTTTTTAGTGGAGAGAAAATCTTTCCTAGAAGCCCCAGGCGACTTTCCCTAACATCTTACTGGCCTGGATTGGTGCAGGCGCCCAGCTAGGGGAAAGGCTGGGGAGTGAGCATTGGGCATTTTTAGCCTTTCAAGCTGGAAGTGATGGCTTTGCCATCCAGGAAAAAGAAGCCAAGAGCCGCTGGATAGTCACCTACCCGCGCGGTGGGCTCACTTTCACAAATAACACTGTTGAGTATTTGCTCTTGATCTCGTTACAATTTCAGAGGTGTTCGGGGATTCAGGCCAAAGGGCGGTGTCCAGGTTCCACCGCTCACCTTTTCTTCTCTTAGGGGGTGTTGACAAATAAAAACGGACGGAGGACTTCCGGCCAGGTGGGGAGCACATCGGTAAGGCCAACAGGGACTAGGGAGCGCCAGTCTGGTCGGCGTTTCTAAGGGTTTCACTGAACGACGTAAGCATGACCCTGAGCGGGCAGCACTGGTGAGATGTGGTCCGAGAAGCACCTGACCCCCCTTCACCCCCTCAGCCTCACTGCCCCCAGAAACCCGCTCTGACGGGCCAGTTCTCCCCTGCCCTCTCCGGCGAAATCCCAGGTGGGTCCCCTTGGCTGTTCCGGTCGCCCTTAGGCAATAAATGTGCCCCAGGTGTGGGCTGCATAAACGTATGCATTTGTCAAAACCCTGGGAATGCGCACTTATGGTTTCCGCATTTGGGGCGCCTGGGGGTGGCGGTGCTCGGTAGGCTGAGCATCAGGCTCTTGATTTCAGTTCCCGTCATGATCCCAGAATTGTGGATCCGAGCCCCGTGTTGGGCTCTGTGCTGGGCGTGAACTGGCTTGGGATTCTCTCTCTAAAATTAAAAAAATTTTTTTAAATAAATAAATAAATGAGATTTCTGCATTTCAACCTAAGTAAATTTTAACTCAAAAGAAAAAGTGTGAACACTTCACTACGCTTGATGATCTGCACGCTGCATGTTGGGCGAAGGTGGAACCGTGTCTGTAATTACCTTGAAATGCACCCAAAGCCAAGGCCGCTGTAGAGCCAGCTCTTCAGGACGTAGACTGACGTGGAGCCATCACCCCAAGCGCAGGCAGGTCGGGGTCTGCAGCGCCGGCTGCCTCCCCTCTGCGCACCCACTTCCAGGCGAGAAAAAAGGGGAACATCTACCTCTCGGGGCTCAGAGGCGGAGGCTGGAGCCGGCCTCCCTCTCGAGGCAAAGAAACTCTGTCCCTATTCTCATCAAAGGTCTCAGGCTCTCGGCGGTACAAGACCCCCTCCCGACCTCGCCCGGCGGCCCTCTCCAGGGCTGCGGGGCCACGCAGCCGGGCCGCCCGCCTGCAAGCCCCTTCCCTCCACGCTCAGTTGGCACCAAGTGTGCGCGGCCTCACCACCCCCCTTCCTACCTCCGGGCTCGAGCATGTGACCCAGCGCTGCCAATCAGAGGTCCTCACTCTCCCGGGCGCAGAGACTGATTGGTTGATGCTGTTTGGAGCATGTGACCCAGCGCGGCCAATCAGAGGTCCTCACTCTCCCGGGCTCAGAGACTGATTGGTTGATGCTGTTTGGAGCATGTTATTTAGCGCGGCCAATCAGAGGTCCTCACTCTCCCGGGCACAGAGACTGATTGGTTGATGCTGTTTGGCGAGGAACAGATGCTCTCCTCCGGGAGGGGTGCGAGCGCGCGAAGTGGACCCCGCCCCATTGGGGGGCGGGCCGCTGAGAGAAGGGGAGGGTCTACACCCGAATGGCTCTGTTCTAGCGCCTGTACCCAGCGTCCTTCGGTGTAGCCGTGACCTCTGTTCTGGATTCTTTAGTCACAGGACTCAGTCTTCGTCACGTGCTTTCAGCTCCACCGCGCAAAGCCCATCCCTGCCATCGGGGCCTACCCTTGGCCTTGCTTTCCTCTGGCTCCATGCAACAGCCTCCTGACTCTCCTCTCCCAGTGCGTCCACCACCTGCTCTCAGAGTGAACTTTCTAGAACACAACTTGGAGTAGGTCAAGGCCCTGCTTAAAATCCTTCAGTGGCTCCCTTGTGCCCACCAAGGTAACCCCCGCACACCTTCGCACACCATGCAGGGTCCGGATAACCTGCTCCCCACAGGCCTCGTTTCAGTGGCTGCTGTCCTCCCCGCCACAGAGTGACCATTTGCAGCCCCCACCCCCACCCTCACTGTCCTCCCCCACAAAGCCTCCAGCTGGATCCTGGCTTTCTCTCGGAGGTCTCGCCTCCCTGGGCTGGGGGGGACCCGCCGGAGCCCCGGTCCAGGGGTCCCTGAAGGATGGACGGTGTCAGCGAGAGGGAGAGAGAGAGAGAGAGCCCCGGAGATTCTTTCTGGTCACCAGGCAGGCATCTCTGCTGACTGGGGCTTGACTTTATTTTATAATTGTTTGGGGGACGGCACAGAAGTAGCATTTGCCTTAGACAATGATTTCTGATGACAAATTTCTTTGATACGTAAAATTTTCCCAGAACACAGATTTGTAGAAGACTCATGCATAACCTTTATCCACAGTGATGGAGGTAGGTGATTTAGAGGCTTATCCTCTAGGGAAGGGAGGTATCTTTAGCACACAAGACAATGTTTTCAGCATAAAAAAGGCAAAGTTAGTTCTTTGTAGGCAGGGGTCAATAGCCTGTTTGCTTAAGGGGAAGTATTAAGAAAAACAGGTTTTTCAGGAAACACAAATGTTTGCTCCCATAATCACAAAAGAAGAAGTTCCTACAATAGGTTCCTTCACAAGGTGCACTCAGCATATCAGGGCCAGAATAAGTCACTCCAAATACCAATCACCAAGGTGACTTAGGGAGGGGGGGTGGGTTCTCAAGCAGAAACAATTGGGTGGGGGTGGATAGCGGTTGCTATTTGACGGTAATAAGAGTCCGTGCAACTTACTTTAACCTCACAAGGAGTTCTTTCTTAACCTATGAGTTCAGAA